TACATCAAACTTCTCTTTTTGCTTTGTCTTACACTCGAGCCAAAATTAGAATCTGCAAATCTCTAGGGTCTCATAACCCCAAATTCCTCTTTTGCTTCCTTGGTGAGACATTCTCTCTTGTGCAACTTTTGATTTTCTGCAGTTTTTTTTCTTCTGAAATTACTTTAACGGATGATCTTCAGATTTATTTTCAGTCTTCGGTAATTGTGGTGTAGATTATCTCGATTTTGTTCGAGTTTCAAAATCACTGTTCATCCCTCTTCGCCTTTACTTTTCGGCGAAATTGGGTTTTTCTGTTGTTCTTCGTTATTTCAAAGTAATTTGTTCACATAAATTTAGTTTATGTCGTAGACACAAAGGGTGGTTCCTAATCAGCACAGCTTACAAGGGATAACAATTTCGGTTATAAATTATAATCCCTTATGCATATAGCGAGTTTGATTTCTAAGATAAAATCTTAATTTCAGGTTGTTTATTTTTGGAGAAATTTGTATGCAATCCATCTCGAGACGAATAGAGGGCTCATTTTACAAACAAAGAGAACCACAACTGACAAAACAAGACGAAGCAAGTATAGGTCGAAGATTACAAATGCTTCGGCTCTCATCCTATTCGAAGGCTCTGTAAGCCAATGTATATCTGCGCTTGTAGCCATAATCACGATTGATTATTCTGCTGTAGTTGCAGTTTCAATCTCGGACATTGGGTCAATATGTGGTTTCTTTGTTTCCGGCATCCTCTCACCTCTTAGCAACATTGACGTGGATCTCCTCCACGCCATTAGTTGTTTAAGAGATTGGACAGCATCTATCATTTTCTTCATGCCTTATGTTTTGCGTTTGTTGTAGTGTTCTTGTTGGTTTCATACTTTGAAAACAATTTCTCCTTTGATGGAGAGTAATTCGATCTATGAAATCGTTTGACAAAAAAAAAAGACGAAGCAATCGAAAAATTTATGTCAAACCTAACCCATATAGTATTGGTACTAGGCCTGCGATTTTGGATAATTTGGTTCGAGTAGTTTGGATAA